TAGAAAACAGAAAGATTGAGCCAAGAAATATTTACTTTTCAATTAGATCCTCATCTCTGGCTCTACTCTAATATATATATATATATATATATATATATATATATATATATATAGCATTTTTACCAATCAAGTGGCGATATGTATCTCATTCCTAAGCGTCTTCATGGCAAGGAAAGAAGATGGCACACTAAGAAGGAGTGTGTATAGGAAACTTACAACAGCAGGTCAGTACACTCATTTTTTGAGTTTTGTACCTTTGAAATATAAACGTAACCTGGTAAAGTGTCTGGTTCATAGAGCTAGGTTAATCTGTTCGAACGACTGCTTCAATGAGGACCTTAAAATTATCAGAGAATTACTCAGTAAAATATGGTTCTCCAGATAAATTCACTGAGAAAAATATGAATTTAACACCAAGGAGAGTCAATATGGCAACATTTCCGACAAAACCAATGTTCATAAAATTACAGTTCCTCGGTGACAACATCAGTGAAATAATAACAGTGCCTGAAGAATACAGTTAAAACAGCTTTCAATGCAGCAGATGTGTTGTCTCTTCACTACCACCCCTATTCTACATTCGAGAAATAGGGATAAACTACCTAAATTTGCCTCTTCTCTGTGTATCTACCAGTTTGACTGCAGCTGCGGAGCCAGCTATATTGGGCGTACACTTAGGCAGGTTCATCATCGTATTTCCGAACATCATCCAACATGGTTAAGCAAGGGACAAACAAGATCTATTCGTAGTTCTATTTTAGCACACCTTGTTGATACTGAGCATAAGGTTGACGTTAATAATACTCATTTAAAATTATTTACCGCATTCCTACTAATCTTAATTTTGCTCTACGAGTTCGTCTTCTACATACAGCTGAAGCAATAGGAATCCACCTGAAGATGAAGTCAAACCTGTGTGTTCAAAAGACATTTGTACAGCCACTTTCCTTATCGAGGCCATCGTTACATGAATGCATAAACAGGTCTACTTCGCCCCCCTCCCCCTAAACCTTTAAAAATTATAATTGTCTAAATTATTTATTTTATTTTTATTTATTTCGACCACTTCATCTTTTACGTGTTATCCTTGTACAATTAATTTTTTCTAACTATTTCAACCTTTTAAATGTGTATTGATTTTCTTCGTTAATTATCAGCCCATTGACATTTTGACACTGACTAATTATTGTTAACAAACATATCAGTGCCACTTGATTGGTAAACTGTTGAGTATTGTAATAAAAATGCTATATCGTATTCTGTTGTTAATGCCGAAATAAACTGCTGGAACATGTGAGAATAATGTTCCATTGACAGACATTATCTGTACCACACCACCACAGTATCTCTGTTTCTCAATCACCTAATTACATCTAGTTAAATAAAGTTCAAACATCGTCAAGACGTGCATACTGGGAGTCGACATGAAAACAGAGACCGAAGATTTCAGTTCAGCCAATCAACAAGGAAATCAAGAATTGACTCAAGACAAATAATGATTAGTGGCACTTGTCTGAGAAACAGCTCAAACGACTCAAGTGGTCTAGTGGATGGCGCTTTGGAGTGGGAATACCAGCACTCTTTGGTGATTTCAGGATCACCCAGTTGAGAAGTCTCGAATAGGACGAAATGAGCTTCATGGATTCCATTGGTGGTAGCCATCTTTCGAACTACTTTAGACTTCATTATATCCTACTGATCACCATATAAATTCCCTTCACCTCAACACTAAGAAAATTACATGGGATTTATAGAGTAAGTAGCTGACAGAAGATTTCCCTGAGTCCTATACTACAGACGTTTTTGGTAGTATTTTTGCAAGCTGTTTTAGTTCAATGTTGTTTTAATATAAAATAATTGATTATCATTGAAATGGTGGACAAATAAGATAGTGTTCAAAGCAATTTGTTCGCATTTACAGTTTGTCTGAAATTCGATAGGCACAGTGATGCAACGCAAAGGAATTAATGGATTACAGCATCCACACACTTACGCACACGCACACAGACAAACAAATATACATCTAGAAACAGATAAGTAAATTCTCGTATTTACGTCTACACTCCACTTATTGAAATAAAATTCCAGACTAAGTATAAACAATATGTTACTATGTTGCTAAGCAACATTATCATTTGATCAGACTGAATTTTAGACACGATCATCTTAATTATTGTAACTACCTTAGTAGTAAAAGTATACTTGCTTCATTCTAGGTTGAAAAATGACTAACTTCTTTGGCAAAAAAAGAAGTGAAAACAATCAATCAAATTAATCACCTAAATGAATTGATGAAATAAGTGATCGGAATCTTCTTTCTTCTCAGCTAGAAGTCTTATGATCCAATATGTGATAATGCTAACAGTGTTTATATGTTTACAGTTATGCATGTAAGTGTACTAGGTCATTTTTATCTCGTTTACCTGTAAATACCATAGAAATACCATAGAGTTCGCAATATTCAGTCATTTGAAGTGGTGTACTTTGTTAGACAGCAGTTATTTCAATTGTTTTGCTTTTTCATAATGTGCTTAGAGTTTCTATGAAATTTCTAACAAACACAACTCCTAAATTAATTGGTGGATGGTGACTAACAGTGGAATCGAGGATGCGCATTTCGTCCCGCTTGGGACTCATCACTGGATGCACCTGCAAAATTGAATTAAACAACTCTTAAATATTTTCCATTCCACCCCCCGAAAATATGCACAACAGGTATGACTGTGGATTTTTTTTTATGCAATGTTATTTACAACAAATAGTAGTAAGACAGTAAGGGGAGTGTTTAGAAATATGGTAGACTTGATTGTGAATACAATTATTTATGTGGGTGAGTGTGTTGAGGAGTGACTGAGAGGCGCCGAGACTAGCAGAAATACTGATCAGTTGGTCGACCTCAGTGAAATACAACAATCGGTGAAAATTTCGTTAGAAATACGTCTTGCAAAGAAATATCCTGAGAAAATGAAGGATATTTTCACCTCAATACCGGTTAATTTTATTAGTATGCAATACGTCTTATTACCTCTTCATTGTGGGCCTAAGGTAAGCAGATATCATTATAAAGGAAAACACTGTTTGTGTGATTCCCAACCGTTTTTATTGAAATGAATGTTTGCTTAGTGTACTACCTTGAGATAGCTAGGATATCGAAGGCAATAAAGTTCATGAGGCACATAAAACGTGACCGACTGAGAACTTTACACAAAAGGGTAACAGTTCAAGTCTCCACACTCTATAAAACCCACGAACGTAGAGAAATTAGGAAAAAGAAATTCATATGGGATTTTATAGATACTACTGCCTATTTAGTAATTTTAAAGTACTCTTTGACTAATATGAATAAGCACATTTCAACCAACCACTAATGATTAGTAGCCAAATCCAACGGTTTCCAGCTAATCATGCCGACTGTATGTATTGTTTAGCTGTTATACTCCTCCTCCATATATCCTTTATGTCGTTAAGTGCTGGTATAACCTACTCATCCCTTAAGTAGTCCTCATTCATATTCTCATGTGAGTCAACCTTAGTACCCTGAGATTTGACAGAAAGAAAATTTATCATTAAGTCACTGACATGTACTAACTAATGGAATTGCGCCATATCAGGGAGGTGAAATTTCACCTTACTTTCCTTCGTCCAAGTAGCTAGCCAGAAATTGGGTGGTTTGAACTGTTTCGGCTGTCTGAACTCAGTCAAACCGGGTACATTGCTGATGAACTCAGCCCCAAACGACCGAAATCGACTTCCGTTGCTTAGATCACTTTGATCTGACTAGCAATCAATAATGGTTGATGTGATTGTTACACAACTACTTATCTGAATCAATCAGTAACATATAGTTTTTCACATTTAGAGATTCATCAGCTGATGAATAATTCTGTAACTGATATCGATTTGTTATAAAGACCAGCTTGGACAAAGTAGTGTAAGCCATTGAACAGTTACTTTTATCTAGCTATCTAAATGATTGGTGTTGTGCATTTTACTCAGTCATTACAATTTACATGAACTGGAAATGGATTACGATAATTCTAAATAGAAAAGACGCAAAAGTAGCCCAGAAATTTAAACATGTGGATATTTATTTTCCCCAATTAAAGAAAGAAAAACTTTATTTTATATTCTTTGTTTCTATCCAGCTTGATGGATGTCCTTTTGTCGAATGATTTCTACTTCTGGTAACATGAAAACTCAGCCACTGAATACTGGTTAGATTCAGTATTAAATTTAACGGTTTTCTATCCAATAACCAATTCAGAAATATTCAATTCAAATAGAGTAAAGCAACCTCCAATTCTCGAAGACGGAGAATACATACAAATAGACATCTTAGAATGGTTTTTTATGTTGTTGACAGTGGATAGCATTGAGATCCACGGTGCGCGTCTCGTCCTATTTGAGACTCATCATCTACTAGCACGTGCTCCCCACATGAATGAGGATGCCTTCAATGAAATCGAGTCCGGAACAAGGGCATTGTCTAGTTGGCTACTGAGCTACAAGAGCCACCTTCTGTGCCACAGATATCAACTGTCAACAGAGACCGAGGATTTAGGTCCCACAAAACGAATAAACAGGAAACTGAATTTCTTCTTCAATATTTAAAGTTCACCTTGTTACTTTTCCTGCACAGGCGAACAGTTCATCACTATAAACACTGAAGATATGTTAGTTTCTCGACTCAATAGAATTATCAGTATTTATTGACGGTTCCTTGAAAAATCGGACGTAATTTGCATTCGTTTCCACTTCTCACAAAAATAGGTGAAGTGAAGCGGGAAAGTAACTTTCATCACTGAGAGTTATAATCATTATTATTAGTAGTACTCACAGGTGATGAGTCATTTGTCTCCTTAAACTGTATAAGTTTTCATCGAACATCGTTATGCATGAGTAAAACGGTATCTAATTAGGTCTTTGTTAAAATTCAATAACAAAAATCAATAAAACAAGAATAAAACTGATTTTTTCACCACATGCAAAAGACTGCTCACCTCCAGGTGTTGGTGTACCAACTTCTTTTCTTAATGCATCTGTAGTTGCTATCGGTACAACTGAACAAAATGGAAAAGTCAAATCCATATCTAGCCGATAAACAACACCAGTTGATTCATTTGTACTACTATGACTAGCTTTCGGTGCTCCAACTAAACACGATGGTTGTGATTGACCAATATAAGTTGCTATAGAATAGCCAAAATAACTTCCACGTGTTATATGTGCAAATCGTCTAGCTGAATCTGGTGGATACAATAATAACTCCTGCATATTTTCATTTTCTCTGTAGGACAATGATGCTGTCGTCATCGTAGTCATAGTAACAGTAATGTAATTTGTTATAATAAAAATAAGTATGTGTATCAATTGAAAATTGATCATATTTATTACATGGTAATATGAAGACATTTTTAAAAAATAATTATTCTATAACTGATTTACAAATCGATTGTTACATAAAGGTTTTACAGATGATCATGATCATGATGATGGTGACGTATAAACGGGCATGTTACATCATAAGGCAAGAGATAAACAGAAGCATCTCATGTGGAATGCTTTTTTTCAGTCATTTAGTAAAGTAAACCAAAGTGCCAGTTAACCATTTCAACTTTATTCTCCTTTCCCCTCAGAGCGAGAGAATTGACCAGTATCTGTTAACCAATCAGAATCGTTACACCTTTTCTATCGATGCAACCAATAATGTACATCACAGTAAGCTCTGACCTTTGGTTAAATAAGAGGAGGAGAAAAGATATAAACAAAAATATGCACGTGTAAAAATAGTCATAGACGCACACACACTCACAATACACACACATATTTTGAAATACGCGAGTATCCAATATGTGTCAGCGTGTATGTGTGTATGTGCATCTAGGTTAAGGATGACGCATCATTTCCCACTGGTAATTATTGTGTACCTTGATACATTTACGTGTATTCTATAATATTCCATATTTTGTTCGGCATTTGGAGAAACACAGCCCACACTGTTAACACATTGAAGACCAGATTTCTGGAAGATGAATCTGCTAGCAAAATATTACCATGTGATTACTATTACTTTTCATAATTATACATAAATAAATATATCAAAATGCTAACAGTAACTGGCTACAATTATTTGAATTTTACAATAACTAACACACATAAAAATGAAAACAAAAAGATAGGCATCTGTGTTGAAAGCTCTGACTCCATATTAATAAACAGTTGATGAGAAAATGTAGTTGGGCTACTAGTCTGTTGGAGTTAACCAAATTTATTTGTTATTTATGTCTGCATTACATCATGGACTAGTAGTAAAAGCTTAGATTAGTGAAGAGAGATGAAAACCTGGTTGGAGGCTTCACTTTGTAATTTAGTTAGGTAAACGTTAGTCTATTTATATCCACCGAGCAGACGTTCGAGTCTTATAGCAACTAGAGTTTTTAAACAACGTCTAATCTCTACTTACTAAGTCTAAATTTATGTATTTTTCATTGCCATAATAGTGTTAAAAAATATGATGACTGTGGGATTAGTGCCATTAACAAAGTTGACTTTATGCTAATGTTGGCGATAGTTCAGCTACTAAGGCTTTTCAAAATACCGAATTCCAAATCAATAAAAACTACCAATTAAACAACCAATCACCACAACTGGTGGATGGTGACTAGCAGTGGAATCCAAAATATGCATTTCGCTCTATTTGGGACTCATCAACTGGATGTGTTTGCATTCCCTAGTGAGTAGTGGTGTCCCCACCGAGGCTTGAACCCAGTGTTCATAGTTTCAAACGCCAAAGCGTCACCCACTAGACCAAGAGAACCACCCCATTGTGCAACGTGTCTTATTAGTTATTTAGTCCGCTTCAGCGTTTGAAACTATGGACACTGGGTTCGAGCCTCTGTGAGGACACCACTGCTCACTGGGGAATGCAGGAACATTCAAATGACGAGTCCCAAACAGGACGAAATGTGCATCCTGGATTCCACCGCTAGTCACCATCCACCAACTAACTTCAAGTTAAATGATCAGACATCGAAGCATCTGCACAAAAAGCCTACATGTCAACCTGAGACCAAGCATTTCGGTCCAATCAATCGATAGAAAAATCTAAATTGAATTAAATCACTACAAAGGTTATCAGAAGATACAGTTTTATCATTAATACAGAATTCAGATAATTTCACTTAATATTAAAGTGTGCACCGAAGATGTTATCTAGAAATACAGCGAAAGTTTCGCAATTAAACCATCCATCTCAGGGAACTTAACCACATGAAAATGACTTACACAGTTCATGGGTTCTTAGTAAGATGTTTAGTAGAGAATGGTTTCTCCCGGCACTCATTACATTTGAAGATTAAATCGCTTTGTAGAAATTATTATCATAAACGATACTTTGTTTAAAATATCAACTGACACCAGATTATGAGATATTTGATATACTTGTGCACTGGAAAAAAAGGTCACCTCACTTTTATGAACTCTCAAGTAGTCTTCACTATTGAGTATACTCCACATTCACTGATCTTTTTTCCACAAAGTTGAAAGTTATTTAATGACCTATTGACTATTTCATTTGAAATGGGTTTGTTTTAAAAAAGATTTTCAATGAGTAAATGTTTTATTTTTGAAGACAGCATAATAAGTAATAAGAATGTGCATTTATTATCGACAATTAACAATGCATGCGAAGTATTTCTTGATGAAATGAACTCCAGCTTAATTAATTTACCAAATTATTCTTTTATTTCTTCATGAGATTGTGGGAGGACACCGTTTATTGAACTTTGTGACATGTGTTACATAACATTTTTAATTTTATTCATTTATTTTTATTTATTATTCCCTTGGATTCCGAGTGGAACATAGGGTTTCAACAACACAGCCCCACTTTGTTTAATTTCCTGCTGTTTTCTTCATCTGGGCCCAAGATTGACCATAATCTCTCATCTCCTACTCCCTACACGATCTCTTCTATATCATCCTTGAACCAGCTCACCACTCATCGTTAATCATTCGGGTTCCACTCAAAGGCCTGGTGCACAACGCCATTTGACGATCTCCTAAGTGTTTGCCCTATCCATCTCCATTTACTCTGACATATTCGTTGAGCAGTCGCCTCTTGGTTGGTTTGTTGCAAGAGTTTCTAGTTGCTAATTCTTTCTGGTAGGCCATCCAATTTTCAGTACAGAATGACAGTAATTGCTGATAAAAGTCTGCAACCTGTTGGAAATGCTTTACATGACACGTAGTGCAAGTTTCTGACCCGTATAGAAGAGCCAACTGACTTCACATTTGTGTTGAAAATCCGAATCTTGTTCTTTAAGTTGGATGAGTGCAGAAGATTTCCAGACTGGTTTCAGGTTGATTAAGACGTGTATTGACCTTCGGATTCTGACTGGTTTTGACATCTTTATCGTACGATCCGCCTGTGGTTGAAACGATGCTTCCTAGCCGGATAAGTGAAAGAAGAAACCTCTCCCGAATGTCTCCCAGTGATGGGGATTAATTCTGGTTGTTTTGCTGTTGCTGTAGCTTGGTTGATTATCTTCATTACCTCCATCTTTTCTGTGTTTATCTGGAGTTTTGTCTTCGATGCCTGCTTCATCGAAGGGTTTGTTGCTTTTCGCCTGTAATTCTTCGAGTTTGTGTGTGTGTGTGTGTTATTAAATATAAATCATCCACACGCGAAATCCAAATCTTCTAGAATATCCTGATACGTCCGTTGTATTCCGTATTTCGTTACTTCATTCTGAATTATCCAAATAACTAAGTTATCTTAAAACAGTTGAGAATATCTTGTGAAAGGCGTATAAAAGTAATATGTAGATAATTTTTTTGGATACGTGTTGGTGGGATGGTTGTGAATGAAAAATGGTTGATTTCATTGAGCAAAGTAACCTGTTGGCATCTTAACATAAAATAGTCACAGCATACTTCACATAAAGTAATTTTGGTTAGTGGTGATTAGAAGTGGAATCCAGAATGCGTATTTACTTCATTTTGGGACTCGTCAGCTAGATGCATCTGCATTCTCACTGAGTGACTGAGAACCCATCATTTAAACACCGTCATTCACTGGCAATGGAGGTACATCCAGTTGACAAGTCCCGAAGACGATGAAATGTACCTTCTGTATTCCACTGTTAGTCACAGCCAACTAAAATAACTTCACATTAATCACTAGCCATCACCGAAACGTCTGTACTAGGGCCCGGTATGTCAATAATGACTAATCATTTCGGGATGATATAATCAGTCACAGGAAGATGCAAAATCAGCGTCAAAATGAAGAAGTCTACTTAACGGTAAATATTTCTAAAAATGTCTTAGTCACGAAAGCTTGATATCAAAGTTAATATTGACAAATCAATTTGTGTAATGTGAATTATTGTGTGCTTAACAGGATGCAGAAATCAAATGAAAAATAGGTTCATTGGTGACACAAATGTTATCGGGACATCCATCTTTAGTACAATTAATTGGCTTAGTCGCTAAATTCCCTTTAATTGTTGTTGTAATAATATCAGGCTAAGAATGAAGATGAAAAGTTTTCATCTCTGTCTTCATCAGTATTAATCCGAATAACATCGAAAGATCAGTGGTAACGTCTCTGACTGCACCACTCAGTGGGTGAAGCGGGTTGGAATCTCAGAAGGCACATGAGTTCCTTTAAGGCATTTACAGATACGCCTCTCTGACTGGGGAGTGCAAACTAGCACGAAACCTGTGTCAGGTGTGGCTTCCTGTGGCTGATTACCTCCAACCATCTAATATCATCAAATCAATGTACACCATTATGGCGAGCTACCTAGAATGGTGGCCGAATTGCAAACCTGACTGATAGAATTCAGTCTGTACCAAAGAAAGGACTAGACACATCACACTAGTTACTAGTGTCCACTCGAACACTAACAGATGTGAAATAAAATGGATACTGGCCTTAAAGTAGAAACTAACAGCTGTGTAAAAGTTAGCAAAGGCAACAGCAATAATATTCAGATAAAACTAACAGACCGTTCATTATCCAACAAATATGCTGAAGAAAATGGTGATGGATAGGACACTCCCTGAGGAAACCACTGACTAACATCACGTGTCAGGCCCTCGAGCGGAACCCGGAAACAGAGAGTCAGGCGTCAGAATATGACATGGAGAAGATCGTGTGAGGAGGACATGAAAGTTAAACAGGATTTCCGAGAAGAAGATGAAATGGAAATGGGCTGATGAATCCCTATTTTTCAGTCGGAACCCATAAAAAGATAGTTGGATCATTAACTGAAAAGAAGTCTCTGTAATAGCAACATTTATCAATAATTCCTACACTTCAAAATGCATAGTGAACAAAATCACGGTCAACGTTACTATTTCTTTGCAAGTGAAAACTACAAAGATGGACACTCGAGTTAACTAGT